TCAAACGCGCACGCATATCCTTGGCAGAACGTTGTACCTTTACCTTCTTGACTGGGCCTCGCGTCTTTTCGAGCAAAGCCCGTTCGCGACGTCTTTGGGCTTCGTCAACTGCCTTTTGGCCTTGTTGTCCCTTGTTAATGAGGTTGTTGAGATCCTCATCTCCAGAATCATCATCCTCTTCCTCGTCGCTGTCGACCAGGATTTGACTCTTCTGCGTTGTGTGTTCTTTGCCAACTACACCACTAAGTCCCTTCAGCCCCGAGCCCTCACCCACATTGGCGGCTCCCCGGAGAGCGCGAACTCTTGCAACCTCATCGGCATCTCTCTTAGCTTTCTCCAATTTGGCTTTCTTGCGCGACTCAATGAGGGCGTTCTTCGATGCTTGAGTGACCACGGGCTCGAGCTTGGGCTTGACGGCTATGCGAGGAATGGCTGGCGACGCTTTCTGACGAGCGGCCATTTGGTCCAAGATTGATCTTTTCTTGTCGACGGAACTGCTGAGCTCGAGAACGTCGTCCTTGTTTGACCGAACGGCCTGGGATGTTGGTGTTGAAGAACCAGACTTGGACCAGGCATCGAGGAAACTCTGTTTCTTTGGCTTCTCTTTAGAAACCGGCTGGATCTGGATGATTTCAATGTCATCATCTTCACCCAGAGCTTTCAGAAGCTCGGCACGCTGTTGGTCGTTCATGTTGGTAGTGACTGCGTAGCGGCCGGTTGTCGATAACTTGATGCAGGAGTCTTGAACGTAATTTTTGGAGTCACTGGGAATGTCGATTGAATTCTCGCGCAGTCTCGTCAGTAACTTGGCCACAACCTTGACCGTGACTTCCACCAGATAGGTATCCCTCAGGCGAAGCATCCTGACAATGCCAAAGAGATGACGCTGAGGATCCTTCAGAAGCTGTTGCATCTTGGTTAGTTCTTCCTCTTTCGGCTTTGCCTGCTTGACATCCGCCTGCGAGGTAGTAGCTTGCAGCGCCGATGCAAACAGACCATCCTGGGCAAGCATGCCGTCTGCCAACTCGATGACATCGCGACAAAAGTCCTGCATCACTTTGATATCGGCAAGATGAGACCAGTTGCCGGTAGATGTGAACGCGACCTCGATATATCTCCAATGGGCAACCCACCAGCCAGTGACGGCAATCTGTTCATTGCTGTCCAAAGTTTTGGATCTTAGGATGCCAGACGAAAGATCACCGAGACCTGAGAGCACGACTTTGGCGGTGTTGATGATATTGCGAGCGGGTCCCCATGCCGCATGTGCGGGCTCCATGATTCTTCTTATTGCGAAAATCATGGAAGAGAGAGTGGTGCTGAGATTCCGTTCAAGTAGAACGGTGAGTGCGTCTTCCTTGGAAGGCTGTTCGGTAATTAACTTGATAAGTTCGGCACTGGCACTGCTGATTTCGTCCTCGCCGTGGACTGTGAAAGCAATGATGGGTCGAATGCTCTGGGCCATGAGGCACAGCTCGTTGAGTTGTGGCGATGTAAACTCGCACATTCGCTGTAGAACGCGTCCGAGTGCCTCCGCGACCATGTGGAAACGGTTGTTGAAGCTCTTCTTTGCCGGGTCCAACTTCTCAGGTTCCTTTCTATTGGGATGGAATCTCTCCACGTTGATCAGAGGAGCCATGGCCATGAGCATGGTCTTGGCTAGGAGGAGCTTGCCTTCGTAAAGGTTTTCCAGAAATCCGTCCCACAAGTCTGCCGATTTGCGGGTGACGGCCGTCTGAATTGGCTTGGGCGTAGCCTTGCGGAGTTCGAGATGCTCCTCGGCGGTTACCCTAGAGTCCAAGCTCAAGGCGGCACTGATGACGCTCATGGCTGCTTTGGGCACACCGAGTGTGTGTTGATCTGTGCTTCTAGTATCCGCTCCTTCGTTGATGATATCCCTGTACTTGAGAGTGACGTTGAGAATTGTGTTGATGTAGACAGATGTGGTGCCTGAGATGACATCAATTGTAGGGTCCAAAAACGACCGCAGAACATGGTCTAGAGCGTCTAAGCCAGCCCTGATACAAGCGGCCTTTCCTTGCTCGCCGATTCTAGCGTCGTGAATGACTTGCTCGAAAAGCAGGTGAAGCAGCTGCTCGCAAGCATCGCCCTTTTGCTGACGTTTGAGTGAGGCAATCCATGTGTTGATCCACGAAGTTGTTATTGACTCAACCGAGTCATTTTTGCCCGTGCCATCGTCATACTTGATGGCGAAGGTCAAAGATTGCGCAAGAAGCTGCTTGAACAAAGGCTGGGAGAGGAGCTGCTCAATGACGACGAATGGTCGCGCGTCACCGATGGTATCCCAGAAAGCCTGTGGTGACGTTTCGAGCAGGACAGTCAACGCTTGGATGATGAGCAGCAGGATCGCCTCCGACTCGCACTGCATATGAACAAAGAGCAAGTCGTAGATGCTCGGCTTGATCTCCATACCCCGAATTCCATGCAATAAGAGCTTCTCGTCCAAGGTCTTGATGATCCAGTTGACGGCTTTCCAGAAACGCTCAATCTCCGGAAGGGATGCGGGATCCCTGGGATTGAGTGCTGAAACTGACTGAATGGCTACCACCAAGTTGTCGTGGATAGCCCAGTTGAATTGCTCCTGTGTCAAAGACTTTGGCCGGAGGCGCTCCCATGACTTTTCAGCGAATTGGAGGCGGACCTTGTCTTCTCCAAAGAGGAACTGGGTCATGGCAGGGAGCAGGACGTTTTCACCCAGCTTCAGTGGCTTCTTGCCAGAGAGGCGGACGAAGACAAACTGGAACAGAGTTCTTTTCTCCGGCACGCTGACGTATGCCATACAGCATAGAGCCTCGTAAACAGTGAGCAAAACTGCGCCCTGTTCCTCACCCAAGTCGCTTCTCGCAAAGGCGCGGCCCTCATTCTCAACCTTCAAGATGATGTCCTTGGCCCATTGAAGACCTTTATCGATTCGGTCGAAATCGAAACGGTGGAGGCAGTTCTCGATGCCAGCGACGGCTTCCTCTGGCCATTTCCTAAAGTACGATTAGCATGTTCAGGGGGTTTGCTAGTGGCATTCTGGCTGGTCTAGACTTACTCGGAAAAGATCTGAAGATACTTCTTCCGATACATGTGCCAGTTGAGGACGCACTTGTCGCAGTTGTGGAGGTTAATAGCCATCCGGCTGCCCCAGGCGTCGAGCCAAACACCGGCCTTATCCTTGCCATAGGCAAGGAGAAGACTAGTCCAGTAAGCGATGTCTAGCCGCTCCTTCCATTTTTCTACTCTCTCCTTCTTCTCTAGAGCTGTGATGTCTTCGCCATCATTGTTCAGGTCGTCGTAGTCCTCAAAATCATCCTCGTCAACCTTGGGACAGAGAAGGTGGAAGTCAGGAGGAATTTGGGTAAACTTCCGATAGCTCTGCTCGAGGATATCCTCGACCGGTTGTGACTCCATTTTACTGCAGTGATCGAGCCCGTCGAGGCATATCGTGAGGGTGATCGAGATCGGGCAGGCGCAAGGTAGCTGGATGATTTGCGTTGAGTGACTCGCGACGCGACAGGCAAAGGAGCTTCAGCAGTGGTGGTGAATTCGGAAGGAAGGACTCGTTGTGCTCTTGCGACCAAGACGGAAGGTGATGAGATAACTGGAATCTGCGCGCGATTCAAGAATAAAGCAAAGTCAGACCTTGCGATTGTCAGCTTGAGAGACACAAGTGACAGGTCTTGCGTCGGCGAGTCGGAAGATTGTCGATTTTCGTGGTTGTTTCTCTTCGGTTGCTCGCCGTTGCGATAGAAACGGTCTCGAGGTCAAGCAAACGGAGCGTGGGAAAAAAGTAAGCGTCAGCGAAATAACCCACTGTAGGGAACGATGAATTTGGAGGAGGAAGGACGCGGGGTCGCGGGAAGGAAAGGGAAAGCCCACGATCTTCTGGGTTGGTTGTTGGAGGGGGAAAGAAGGTAGCTGATGGCAATCAAAAGGTGAAGCCAGGCAAGTGGGCTGCAAAAATGGCAGTGACACGCTCCGGCCCGGCCAGGACGCGGCCAGGCGTCAATTCCCATTAAAGCGTGTCGACAGGGGGTGGGGACTTGACCCATCGTGAGGTACCTCATCGAAGGTGGCGCGTGGCAGGCTGAAAGGGTACTGGAGTTTGTGCAGTGGCTAACTGACGATGCTGTGGCACAGAAACAAGGAGGCTTTCACTGTGGGTGCACAGACCATACCTTAAATCCCACCTCAAAGCATTCAGCAGCTGTTCCTTGATGACCTTTTTGGCGCGGCATTCTTCAACTACACAATGATTGACTTTAGCTTGGCCCATGATAACGAGTCTATGTCATGAATCAATGAGTCCAACTAACAACTAATTATCTCTACTTCCGGCGGACCCATTTCTATCCTAGCTTCCTGAGACTGTACTGGTGTCTTCTCTCTGAAGCTTAGAATTGCAGTATGGCAATGTTGGACGACCAAGATGGCTAGGTAGATATCCATGACTGAACTCTCTCATCGTATTCATTACCTCCAGATTAACTACTGGCATTCAAATTCGTTGCTCGGTGGGATATGAATCACCAATGAAGTCGTCACAAGGAGCAAGGAGCTCCCTCGGGCTCAGGTCAGTGCAACGGCAACATGAGTGTATGGCACAGTGGAAATCTAGGAGTGCCACTGCCGCTAATGAAGTCTCCATTGTGATTGCAAATATGTGCTACTCTCTAGCAGTTCTCAATAATGTTTTTGCTCGAGCTAGTTGAATCCCACCGACCCGTAATCAGATCTTGCAATTGAAAACACCCCTCGTATGCCCTTCTGGGTAACTACGTGCGCCCATCACACCATGCCGTGGACGAGAATGGCGAACCGCAGCAGATGATAGATCCTCCAGATTCCTCCCCTAACAAGAGTGTTTTCATGCCGTGTCTCTTTTGCGGATGCTTCATCTCGATGATAGATCCAGCCACCTAAAATCAATGTAACGTATTTCCTTGGTCCTAGAGACCTAATGTTCTCTACCCCGGGCTGAGCGATATGTTCGTCTAATCGACCCCTGATACGCCAGCTTCAGGCTTGGTGGTTTTCACCCATACATCGAGCGTGCCCGACTCTCCCACACTCTTGTTTTTCACCTTCGCCTGGGTCTGTTTCTTGCCACGGGCTAGAAGGTGCTCAAGTGGACAGACAGTACTATTCCACTTCGCAGTACCTTCCACCGTCGACCCTTGGCAGCGGTAGCAATTTCCGCCGTGCTCGATAAAAAGTTGATGAAGTCCGTACTTGAGCTGGTCAGGCACTCGAAAGTCGCAGTGCATGTATGTGTCGTTAGGGCTTGCTTTCATGGGGGCCCATCCCAGCCATCTTGTCATCCGATGTACATGGGTATCGACCGCGAAGCTGGGCATCTGCAAGTTGAATAGGAGAAGACAAGAAGCAGTCTTGACTGCCACCCGGGGGTATTTGATAAGCTCTAGCATTGCATCATGCGGCTTCATGACTCGGATGTGATCCAGTGTAAGTATTCCCGCATTGATCTTGCTCAGCTGATGGCCCCTTTGTTCTGGACTCAGTCTCGCTGTTCCAGGCGTAACAGTAGGCTCTTCCGTTTCCTTCTCCTTGAGATACGTCTTTGCTCTCTTCTTGTTGTCTTTGCGAATCATGCTGAGGCACGTCTTGATGGCGTTATACTTTGTGGGACCCAGTCCACCTGGTCGGAAAGCCTCCAGCGCCGCATCTTTCGGGGCATGTCGCAGAGCATTCCAATTGATGCTCTCTGGTCCAGGTCCTTTCTTGTCAAGCATACCAATCAGTTTGATGATCTTTTCTATCACCTTGTCGGCGCTTTCTCGTGTGACCGATTGGCTGATGATTGTTCTCATCATGGCATCGACCAAGCATGGCACCTCTCCACACCCAGCGACATTGGCAGAAGCTGGCGGTATTGTGGCTGGTTGGATAAAGTTGAGTGCCTTGCGCTTTGCAGGCTCTTCACTCTGCTCTCTCTGTTGGTATTCCTGAACAAGGATGTCGTAGACAACCTGGCACTCCCCTGCACTAGGTCCAGGCCAGTCGCGGTATGGTGTCTCTCCTGGCATCAGTCCATAATCCTTCTCCTTAACGACCTTCTGATCGTCCTCTGAATCTAGGTCGTCAAGTAAATCTGTATCGCTTTCTGCTTGATTGATTGCCTCTTCTTCGGTCTCATTGAGATCTGTAGTCGCTGTTGTCGGCTTCTTTGACCGCCGGTATCTCTTGGAAGCTTTCTCTAGGTCTTCTGCAGTCATGCTATGTCTCGTCGACGCAAAATCTTCAGAGCAGCTGTTTGTAGATGAGTACTCATCTCTGATGGTAAACTCAAGGCTGGGAATGGTATTCCCTAAGCCATGGGGAAGATCTATCCTGGTCTCCTGTGTAGGTGGTGCGTCCTTGGGTACGGCTTTCACTCGCTTGTTCGATTGTGGATGATCATCATCCTCTTTATTGTCATCAGCGTATCTCTTCACCCCAGTAGCAGCCGATCGTAACATTCTTGTGCCCCCTGAAGGTGTTTTGTTGGTAGTGTGCTGAGTAGAAGCCAGCTTAAACGTTCTATCTGCTTTTGGTAAACGCACGTTTTCTTGGTCCGCTGGATCCGGAGAACTTCCTTGGGTGGTGTGTATGGTAGAAGTTTGGTGGAACGCCTCTTTATCTGCTGGCTGACAGATTCTTCCTTTGTGTACTGACAATTGATCCGCTCCTGTGTCCGCTGGAAGTTGGATCGCTCCAGCACCGATTGGTGATAGGATCGCTCCTGCATCAGCCGGCGGTGGGATTGCTTTTACGCCTACTGGCAATTGGACTGTTCTCTCATCTACAAGTGAACGTATGTCTCCTTCTTCTGTTAGAGGTATGACACTATTCAAGGTGGCACACTTACCAGGTGATTGTTTGGAAGTTTCTGTTCCTTCCGAAGGTATAGGAATCTTCTGGGCAGCTCGCCTGGTCGCACTTCGAGTTTGCATGATTGCACGAGAAAAACAGGACAAGAGTTCAAGAGTTCAAGAAGGCTTAGTAGATATTGATTGATTTTAGTGAAATAGTACGAGAGCAATGTGCTTTACTTTGTGGCACAAGTGGAGGGGAACGTTATGGCAATCAGGAACCTAACAGGAGAAGATGTTGTGGTTGATGTTCTGATTTGCTTCGAGATTTCATGTGCTGTTCGTGGAGACGTTTCCTTTCGCTGATTTGTAGAAAGTGAGGGTGTTGTCGTGAATCACATTTTGATGGGCGATGTTGGGATGAAGTTGGTTGAGAGCGTGAATCGCTGTTGTGTATGAAGCTGCGGATGAATTAAGCGAGGTCTTCTATCCCAACTACGTACCTTATCTACAGGTATCGGATTGATACCTAGGAAGGTACCTAGCCTCAATTTTGGGAAGGAAGGAATTCTAGCAGAGGTGGGAAAGTGCCAAGGGGTGTGGATGCCTGCCTTACCTATTCCACCTGGTTCCTGGTGTTACGTTGGGTATCTACTGATGTTCACGGCATCGCTACTGTCTGAGAAACCTCAGTCAGGCAAGTTGCTTTAAGAAACAAAAGGTCACTGCGTTGTTCTAGTCATATTTGAGTGCAAAAGGAAGAGATAGGAGATGGTGAAGAAGAATGAAGAAAGGGCCTATGGAACCAACTTGAGCATTCACGGTAATCGTTGGTGAAGGAGCCAAGGCCCACAAAGAATACTCTAAGCACTCACACAATGATTTTAAAGACATTTTGAGCACTCTGGGTTATCCGTTGATGTCAAAGTCACCGAGAGAGAGAACATGACACACTCAAGCAAGAAGACGGTGTTTGAGCGTCAAGGTAGTATGGTGTTATTCTACGCCTTTTATCTCGCTATCTCGGGAGCTCAACCCTGCCTTTGGGCCTTGAGGCGGCACTCAAATGGATGATAATTTGACTGAAAGACTTCACAGTTGCTATTACGATCTAATACGAGGTCAAGAGGTGAATGATAGCCATGGGAGGTGATGCGAGGGTGAGAGAAAGTCGGGTCATCTGTCTAAAGAGAGGCGAGGGTTTACCTGACCAGTCATATGCTGTTGTTTCCAAGTGCTCCATCAAATATTTAGAAGGTCCAAATCTTCTTTGCATTTTGGATCCGTATCACAAACTTCTCCGCCCTCAACTTCTCCTCGTTCTTCCCCCATTTTTCCTCCATTGGGCAGGTAGTGGCCGTAGTTCTTGCCTCAAGGGCAACTTCAACCTCTCAGGTACGCCCAATCGGCTTCATCTTCTCCATTTGAGAAATTGAAGCCTCGTAGACTTCTTTCTTTTCCAACTATCCTACTCGGGCCTTTCGTTTTGACAATATTGCGACCAAGATCCGAGCGACCAAGTGCCTGGTTTGGCGCCAAGAAGCAGCAGGCAAGGTCCAACGAACAGGCCGACTATAGAGGGGACGAGGAGAGTCTCACCAAGGTTCTTCAGGCTGAGACCAACAGCTCAGTAGGCTCGAAGACCGACACCATTACACACACATACACACACACTTCATCGGTTCCTGGAAGCGCTTTATCCTCGTCTGAGACCTACACATCACCGACTCGGGTAAGAGGCAACCTCGTGAGTCGTTTCCCTCTCTTTTTCTTGCACCTCCAGCTGACCAAATAGCCAGTCCTCAAACATCAAACAAATGGCTACCGCCGTATGCTCAGGCAGTAGCCCCTCCGCTGCAATCGTCGTAGACGATGATCACGCATTTGAGGATAAAGCCACGACAGAATGGCAGCTAAGGGTCAACGCCTACCGCCCTCAAGGCCGAGAAAATTCCGTCATCACCGTCAACAGTGATTTCGACATACTGGAACAGAAAGAAGAGGACATCGCCGACAGAGAACTCGAAAATCTTATCGATCTTACTGTTGACGATGACCCGGTCATCCAACCGCGTCAAAGACGTCGCCAACCGCCTCCTGCCAAGGACCCTGAGCGTCATCACCAGAGCATAGGAACTGGCCAACGGCTGATCAAGCTCAAGAAGTTTTATGAGCTGGATCCTTCGCAATGCCCCAAGTCGGCGCTAGAGCCACATTTTATTTTGGTGAACAATATCACTGAGAATTTGACGACCAACAAATTCACAATCAGAGGACTGCCCTTTATCAGAGTACGCTCACTCATGGCCAAGTTGCCGCGAAAGTTAAATGAGGTGGCCATCGTCTACGAACTAGACGAAACCGACGACAGGACGATCAACGAGCAGGCAAGCATTGAAGTTCCCTTGTCTGCAATCATCGGACCTTCCAGAAGCTTTCACACGACGAACGCGCTCTACCCGCACCATCGCTATGACCCGAAAGCCTTCGCCACCGAAAAATCAGTCGAGAAGGAAGGTCCGCTGGTGTGTCGGTGGAAGTACTTTATTCACTACCGAGACTCTCATGAGAAGAAAATAAGCAAAGCTCATCATTGGACGTTGGAGCGTGTCCGAGAGCACGAAGTCGAACGAGAAGACTTCAAGGTCTCTGAGGGAGCTTTGCGATCTGACTGGCGAGGTGTGACAATCCGCGGAGGCGCGCATATCCCGGAGGCGCAGCCTCATGTGCTTGGACAACCTGCCCAGAAGCAGAAGTATACAGTCTTTGACTCGTTCTGCGGCGCCGGCGGCTTCTCGAGAGGCGCCGAGAGGGCAGGGATGAAAGTTCAGCATGCTGTCGATTCCTGGGATCGGGCGTGCAATACCTACCGCCGAAACTTCCCGGATACCAATCTTTTCGAGATGACTGTCGACGAGTTTATTCTTTCTCAAAAAGATGTCCCGATTAGAGTGGATGTTCTCCATCTATCACCACCATGCCAGACATGGTCACCGGCCCACACCGTCGCGGGACAGAACGACGAGGCCAACATCGCCTCGCTCTTCGCCTGCAGAAGTCTCATCGAGAAATTGCGTCCTCGAATCTTTACGCTGGAGCAGACTTTCGGCATAATGCAGCCGGCCTACGCTCCCTTCTTCAACACTCTTGTCATGGGGTTCACTGAGTTCGGGTACTCTGTAACTTGGAAGCTGGTCCATCTCCAGACCTGGGGGCTCCCTCAAGTCCGAAAGAGACTGATCATGATTGGCGCCTGTCCCGGGGAGAAGTTGCCCCCCTTTCCCAGAGCAACCCACTCTGAGACGGGAGCCGGTGGTCTGTCGAAATACGTGACCATTCGGCAAGCACTCTCGAGGATTACGGACACCTCGTCCTTCCACAACCCAGAAAACGAGATGAGAAACACCTTGCCTATCGGCTCAGTCGTCTCCGACCCGGATCAGATTTTGAAGAGATGCGTCACATGCTCTGGAGGCCAAAACATGCACTGGTCGAATACCAGAGCCTACACGGTGCGCGAGTTCGCCAGCCTTCAGGGGTTTCCGGTCTGGCATCAATTCGCCGAGGCTCCCAAGTCAGCCTTGAAGAAGCAGATCGGGAATGCTTTCCCGGCTTGTGTAGTGCGGCCCTTGTACGAGCATTTGAAGAACTGGCTTCTGGCCGAGGACGGCTTCGCCCCGCCCCGCGACGCGAGGAACAGCGTTGGCGGAAGAGAAGTGGTGTTCCTGACCGAGGCGCCTGCGCCTGCACCCGCGCCGCCGCGCCGTGTCCCTGCCCCGCTCACAATGCCATCGCCCTTGAGTAGCCAGGGAGACTCTGCTAGCAACGCAATGATGCTTGATGAAGACGAGGATGATCAGATTGAGATCAAGTTCTATGGGGATTCCGACATTGAGATGTCTGACGTGCCCGAGGCGCCTAGGAGCCCGGATACGCCTGACACGCCGCTGTCTTACTACCGGTGCCGGTCTCGATCGAGGACGATGTCCCTTGGTCCATCTCCAGAGCCGGTGCAGTTTGGGATGAAGGACTCACCTATTGTGATTGACTGAAGGGGTACAAGAAGGATTATATTGTGCGTGTGTGGAAATTTGCGAACTTTGTTACGTTGTCATTTATGGAACGACAACCTTGCACGACAGGACAGGAAATGGAACAGAAACAGGAACAGAAAACGGTGTCGTATTGAGCACTCGTTATTATCAGAGACTGTGAGGAATGGGCCTAAGGGCACAAATCTTCAATGTCATGCAGGAAGCAGATGATCAATGTTGCACTAAACGAAAGGGAACGAAATGAGAGGAATGGGATTACTTTTTTTCTGTAGTCTAGTTCTGAGATTAATCTGCGTTCTCTCACTCAACCATTCCCCCTTTAACACGCCTCTTCACCACACGAAAAAAAAAAAAAAAGGGGGCCCGTTTCCACGCTCACGACCTCAACACACTCTGATCAACCCAGCTGACAAACCCAAACTTCCCCTCGGGCGTCTGAAACACGTCCTTGGGCTCTCTGTAAGGCGCCGCTCCCGCGTCGTCCAGCACGAGGGTGACATTGCTCGCCTTCATCTGCTCGGGCGTCCAGCCCGGTCCGCGGTCGTCGTAGACGGCCATGAAGGTGGAGTTGTTGACGCGCGGCTCCGAGGCCTGCCACTCAATGTAGCCCTGGGGCTTGATGGAGGCGTCGAAGAAGGACTGCATGAAGATGGAGCGGTGCTGGGCGTTCCAGGGGCGGCCGAGGGCGCAGGCGCCGCGGATGGTGGGCGCGACGGAGGCGTTGGCGGCGAGGACTTGGGAGTCGGAGATGTAGACACCGTACTTGTTTTCAAAGGTTGTGTTTGTTCCTGTTTTTTTTTGTGTTAGTCAAAACTTTCGGGTGGATGATGGATGCCACATGGTGGAATAGGAAGAAAAAGGAAAAAAAAAAAAAAAAAAACGCACCCTTCCAAGCAGTAATACCACCACCGCAGTTCCTCAACGAAAGCGTCGACTTCTCAATATACGCCGTGCCAAACCCGTACAGGAAATCCGTCTGCCCGGCAATCACATTATCGTAAAAGTACGCATTGCCCAGCTTCCCGACGTACAGCGTATCCTGCCACCCGTACAGCCCGCACGAGTAGAACCCGGCGTTGGCCCTGCTCACACCAACAGCGTGCGCGGGGCCGTTGGAGTACGGGTACTCGTCGTTGCGGAAGTCAATGTTGTAGGCGCGGAAGTCGGCGCACCCAAAGGGCGTGTCGGCGGGCACGGGGAAGCCCGTGGGTCCGGAGCCGGTGAGCGTGGCGTTGAGCGTGGGACCGACGGAGAGGACGCTGGTGTAGGCGTTGTCCGGGAAGCGGACGTTGTGGTTGGTCGCGTTGAAGAGGACCTGGACTTCGTTTTGGGCGTTGCCGGCCGTGGCGTTGCCCGAGGCGGAGTAGGAGATGCCGTTGCCGGGGGCGTCGGTCATGCCCAGCAAGGTGAGGGGACCGGGGCGGGTTACGTTGAGTTGTTCTACGTAGATGCCCGGCGCGATGAGGATCGTTTGGGCTGTTGTGTCGTGGGGGAGGGAGGCGATGGCGTCTTGGATGGTTGTGAAGTTTGCGTGTTTGGAGGTCTTTGAGACGAAGAGGGTGTCTGCGGGGCAGCCCTCGAAGGGGTTGTTGCAGGTCTTCTTTTGGCATGCTGCGTAGGTCTTTGCCGGGCCTGAGGGGATCGCGGCCGCGGCCAGGGAGACGAGGGCTCCGGAGAGGAGGATGGATGCCTTCATCTTGGAGCCTGTTTTCCTGGTCTTCTCACTTACAAATTTACTTCGTAAAAGAGAAAGAGAGGAAGAGGCGAGAGGAAGGGGGAAGAGAGAAGGAGACTCGGCCCGAGCTTGAAGATATATACAAACAAAAAAAAGAGTGTGGTGGTTGAGTTGGTAGTCTTCTGAACAAGCTGAACAAAGAGACCCGATGATCTGGATGGGGTTTGCTATATATCCTTCCCGTCCGTCCCATTGCTACCTACCCTCGACTAGCCAGTGCTACTCTGGCAGCCTAAGCTTTCCCTTGCCCATATTACCCGATGCTTGTCACAATCTCTTCGACAGCTCGCGAGTTGGGGGCGGGAGCAGGTTTTCCGGGTATCCCCCCCTGTCCCGGGTTCAAGTCTCGCCGTAATAGAGTAGAACGGCTGTCAATTACTTACACACGTACAATGAGTAGGGCACACATGCACAAAGCTCAAGCGCGCGTATTGTGGGCGGAGACAGATGTGGCACTTGCAGTGGCAGCGCCAAAGTATACCATATTGGCCCCTCAGGAGAAAAGCGAAAATCTCGCAAAACTCGCGGTTTGCGGCCTCCATCGACTATCAACAGTACGAAGTACATCAGCTCAGCTTACGACTCACCCTCTCTCTCTCCTTTTCTTCCTGTTTCTTCCTATCGATCCCCCGGGTTGGACGCGCGGGGTAGAAGACGGAATTATTACCCCGGAAATCCCATCACCGGCAGACGTGTCCAAGGAATATTTGTGTCCCATGGGGAAGAAGAGGCGTGGCAATGGGACGAACATGATGAGCACATGGGAGGTGCCGTAGGCGACATGGTCAAAAGTTGGGGAAAATGAGGAGGTCGAATTCCCAACTTTTGGGGCTCTGCAGGGCTTCTGCAGACGTGCAGGTGGAAGAACTGCAGCTGGCGGATTCCACGAACCACAGCTTGCAGGGCCTCGCAGGGCATCTACACTAGCCACGAGCCACGATTTTAGTGTCATTAAGTGCCAACGGTGGTTGTCGATGACGCGGGGAAATGGCAACATCTGAACATGACAACCAGCGAGAAATAGGTGAGAAGGGGGCCGGAAATCAAGCAAAAACCAAGCAAAACCAAGCCTTCGGAAACGCGGCATGGGCGTAAGCCAACCGGCTTGGCCTGCGAGCTCCCCCACACTGGGTACGTGGGGTAACCCTGGCAAGTCTACCTCAGTAATGCTGCAAGTCCACTGCAGCGACTGCACACCTCCAGGGGCACCAATCAGTGAGAGTTTGTGAGAGGCGCCCCTCTGTTGGCCCTTAATTAGCGCTAGCCCGCACTGTAATTGATAGCTTGGAATTGCCCAATAAGCACTCGGGAAACCTTGTCATTGGTCAACTCCTTTTCTTTTCCGTCGCCTTTTTCTGCCCGTTTCCAATTCCTGTTCCTCTCATTCTCATTCTCATTCTCATTCTCACATTGACTCTCACTCTCACTCTCACTTTCACTCTCATTAAGTTCTACACTCTCCCGCCGGCACGAGCAAGTTCTCTCAGCCTCCATCTCCTTCAAAAGAAACAGTATTTCCCCTGAAGGCCCTGAAGGGTTCGCCCAGGACTCCATGTCCAAAGTCTCCCAAAGCACCATCATTTCCTGCCAGATTTCCTCCTGCTAAGCTTTTCTCGGAAACGGCGGAGATCACCGCACGTAATCATTCCCAAGCATATACCCGGTTTCGCCATATAAAACACAAAAGCTTGATTTCGTTGGCCGTTTTCTCTCTTCCTTCGTACCCAGATGATCAGATGAATAGCCGTCCGCCTTGCCTACTCGTGGTTTAGCTCCATGTTTCCGTTCACTCTCCGTCCGTCGTAGGTCTGCGAGTACCTGAAGACGGCGAAGCTTTGCCGTCCCGTCCGTCCACCTCACCCCCATGTTGCCCTTGCCGTTCTTCCCTGAAGACTTGAACCCCTTCATATGGACGGAAAAATTGCAACCCATGGTCCCATGCCATGTGCTCTTTCTCCAATCTTGCTCTTGCTACTAGCTAGACCCCCTTCCCTAGTGCCCCTGCTTCACCTACAGTAGTCGCCCCTAATCGAGCTATCGCCGTGTCATTCATGGTGGATATCCTTCCAACGCCGAGAAGCTTCCCCCCTGCTCCGCATCGGCGCATATCCCCTCCCCGAACATCAATGGGCTCCAACACCTCACTCACCACGGAAGATCTGATATAAATCCTTTCCCCAGCCCTTTCGCAGCGTAGCAGTCTCAAAACGGCTTTGTACAGCTTCTCCAATTGCTTGGCAAACTACCCCCAACAGTCCTTGGCGCATCAGAACAATCCTGACCGCCGTTACATTCTTTTGATCCTTTTTCATTCTTGTTTTTGCCTATCCAATTACTTTTTTTTTTTTTTTTTTTTTCACCATGGTCGCTCCAACCTTGCTCGGCGGTCTCCTCGCCGCCGCCCTGGTGCCCTTCACCCACGCCGCCGCCGGTGGCCGCCCAGACATCAAGGCCGCCCCCTTCCACCCGGGCCGCGCCTTCCCCGCCTCGGCCCCGAGGACAAAGACCTGCGCCGTAAAAGCCGGCACCAACGGCAGCGACGATTCGGCCGCCATTCTCCAGGCCTTCCACAGCTGCAACAATGGCGGCACCGTCGTCCTCGACAAGACGTACACCATCTGCAACCCGCTCGACCTCACGTTCCTCAACGCCGTGGACGTCGCCCTCACTGGCACCGTCAACTTTTGCGACGATATTGACCACTGGCTGCCCCGCACCTTCAAGTACACCTTCCAGATCTCTTCCTCCATGTGGAAGTTTGGCGGCAAGGATGTCAACATCTACGGCAACGGCGTCGGCACGCTCAACGGTAACGGCCAGAAGTGGTGGGACCGGTTCGCGTCGAATGCTACGCTCGAGAGACCTATTCTCTTCGTCACTGACGGTCTTCACGGCGGCTCTATCACCGGCTTGAAGATGGTCAACTCGCCTCAGGTAAGAATCACTCACTCACTCACTCTTCGCTCTCACCCACCTCTCATGAAATCTCATCCACCTCATATGAAATCTCAAGAGCACCCACTGACAATAAACCCCCCAAACAGTGGTTCAACCTCATCGCAAACAGCACCGACGTCCTCATCTCCGACATCAACATCAAGGTCGGCTCCACCTCCTCCAACCCGGCCAAGAACACCGACGGCTGGGACACCTACCGCTCCGACGGCATCGTCATCCAAAACTCCGTCATCAACAACGGCGACGACTGCGTCTCCTTCAAGCCCAACTCGACAAACATTGTTGTCCAGAACCTCGTCTGCAACGGCTCCCACGGCATCTCCGTAGGCTCCCTCGGCCAGTACATTGGCACGTTCGACGTCGTCGAGAACCTCTACGTCTACAACACGAGCATGTCCAACGCCTCGGACGGCGCCCGCATCAAGGTCTGGCCCGGCATGGACACCCCCTTCCAGCCTAACCTCTCTGGCGGCGGCGGCTCGGGATACGTCAAGAACGTCACCTACGATACCTTCCACAACGACAACAATGACAATGCCATTACGATTGATCAGTGCTATGGCCAGAAGAACCAGACCATCTGCAACCAGTACCCTGTAAGTTTCTCACAGCAGTTTTTCATGTAAAGAGACATGAAATTTGATGTACTAACACCATCGCTTCTAGTCCAACATGACCATCAGCGACATCTACTTCAAGAACTTTGACGGCACTGCCTCCTCCAAGAATGACCCCCGCGTCGGATCCCTCGTCTGCAGCAGCCCCTCCGTAAGTTTTTCCCCCTTTTGGTTCTCTTACCAAAAAGGCCATGGCACTAACAACGGAGCCAGAAATGTGTCAACATCAACGCCTCCAAGATCAACGTCAAGGCCCCGAGCGGCAAGAACCCCCAGTGGCTCTGCGTTAACCTCGACACTGGTCTTCTTGACATCAACTGCGTCACCAAGGTGACCAAGAGCTAGAAAGAAGTTCTTGGCCTCGTTTAATCTTATTCTGTATATTTGAATTTATTACCCTTTCTTGTATTTAAGCGGGAAAACTTTGCCCGGGTACTTTCATGTAAACCCCCACAGGTGCAAAATTCCCTACAAGGGGGAAATGGTGGATCCTACATACATATCATACCATTGTCTCTCTTATGCCTATAGACTTTGTGAATGGTCAGAAATCGACTGATCGCCGAAGGGAGGTTTCAACCTTATTAAAGACACAATCCTTCCCATACATTGCCATTTCGTCGGGTCACGTCTAGAAAATCCCACTGAAAGGGCCGAAGACGTTCGGCCAACCCTTCAAGCTTGACTCGTCAAACTGCCAGAAGGTTTATCAAACCTCCACACAGCCATATCCCTCATCTCGGCAAACCGCCACACCTTGATGCACTCCTTTTCGACGGCAACGAGCCTCCCACCGCACTTTTCACAGACTCTCATGCTGCCCACGTTCTCCAGATCAACCTGCGCAATAAGGTGCGTGATCTCGACTTGATCCCCGCCGTCGACGTCACTCTCTGCGTCTCTAGTAGTAGCTGCGATGGCCTCATTCCGTTTGGCCTGCAACCTTGCATTTACATCTCCAGCAGAGGCGTGTGCACCATCATCTCCTTGTCTCCTCTGACCTGCTGCTGCCGACGCCCGCACGTCGGGGACGACGACCACCTCCCTCCTCGGCGCCGACCTGCTCCGGCTCCAGTACATCTCCAGAAACGCCGTGATCGCGCGCGTGGCGTACCCTTTGCCCCAGCAGTCGGACCGCAGCTTGTATCCGATCGATAGTCCCCAGGCTGATACCGTCGTCGTCCTGATCGTGCCGATCATCTTGGTGGTCTCTCTGGCGGTGTTGGTGGTGGTGCGAACCCCATCGTTGCCGTCTGCCGGTAGCGAAGGGGCGGGCGCGTGGTCCGAGACCATTACGGCACAGCTTAGGTGCCAGGGTTCAGTCTCTGGGTGATTGACTACCATGCGCTCTTTGGAGGCTTCGAGGGTGGTTGTTTGTAGCCGGAGGCTTTGTGGGGATGAAAAGTTGTGAGCGATCTGTGTGTGTGTGTGTGTGTGTGATATTTTGAAGGGTTGGTAAGTAGAATCAGGAACATTGACGTTACCTCCAGAGATTCGCTTTCTCGTCAGAACATAGTTCGTGGAAGCCTTGAAGGTGTTTATGGAGGTTTAATGGCTCTAGCCATAAGTCTGGTTTGACTGCGTGTGAGGCCATTGTAGGGGTTACAACAAGTCTGGAATAAGAGTGTGAATTATGAATTGGAATAGATGTCGGACAATTAGGACGCAGGAGAGGACAAGGTTGTCGGTCTCAACTATGCCATTTGAAAGGGCTGTGAAATATCCTTGATATTGGGTTGGCTTGGTCGAAGAGATCAGTGAGTCACTCTATCCTGGCTAACTCCATGGATGGTGTAAGACTGAGCTCATCCGGGGACTTCCGCAGTAGCGCCCGGCCTCTGACTCTGAATTTTCCAGAAATCTTTTGGCTGAAAAGAATTTTGTAGTTCAGAGATGTGTTTTCTCATGATGGATGCTAATTGTGGCTATATTTATTACTTGTTTGCACGTATGCTGGAAAACAAGATGTAAGATGTTACTGGATGGGTTCAATTGGAGCAGATGCTCTAAGTGCTACGACATCATTACAAAAGAAATTGGGCTTCTTCATATGAGTACGAACTTAAGATAGATATCAGGAAGATGAATTTACAGAAACTTAGCCTGCTCAGAGTGTCTTCCCAGCTTGAGCCGATGAGATGAAAGACAACATGAATACCTTACCTTAAGGCAACCCTGATGAGTAACTGGAGAGGCAGGAGTGAACGTCGCTGCTCCAGACCCCACATTGTGCGCCCCTCATTTTCGTCTGTCCACCCCAGGGGCATCTGCAGAGCTTCTCCGATAAGATAAGACATTTTTTGACCCTCCAAACTTTCCCAAGCTCAAGAGAGTCACTTTAACGCGACGACGCAACAACCACATCCCCACGCCATTGCACACGCATAATGTCCAGCAATGTCGGCAGCAGGTCCTAAATCGAAACCATTAAAGTCCGCCTTCGCCAACAAACGAAAACAGGGATCCTCAGGCGACAATGGCGGAGGGAATAACGGCGCAGGCGGCGGCGGAGGATGGGCGCAAAAGCGCGTCAAGATCCGCAACGACCGCGAAATCGCAGCGCAGTCTTCGGACGCGGCCCTACGAGACGGCGAGCTCGACCTCCAGTCCTTCCTGAACGCGCGCGAGTTCGAGATCCGGGCGCTCGAGGAGAGCATGCGACATACTAAAGCCGAGGCCACGAGCCGGGCGTTCCAACAGGTGCCCCGCGGACTGAGGCGGCGGACGGCGAGCCACAACGCAAAGAGGGTGCCCAAGAGGCTGCGCAGGCGGGCGCTCAAGGAGATGGCGGAGGATAATACCCCCGTGGTGCTCTCGAAGCGCAGGAAGCCCAAGACGACGAGGGCGCGGATCCGGGCGGAGACGGCAAAGAGGTTGGGGATGCTGGCGGAGAAGAAGAGGAGGAGGGGGATGAAGGCGGAGAAGGCCAAGGCAAAAGACAAGGACGGTGAGGGGAATACGGGCAAGACGGGTGACGGACCGAGCAAAGGCGCAGTCCCGGCCGCAGTCACAGTCACGACGAGACTGCCGCGGCCCAAGATCCGCCGGAACCAGCTCAACGAACCGCCGCAGCGCAAGTCCAAGTTCAGGAAACGGCAGATCAACAAGACGTGGCTGCCGACGCACCTGTGGCACGCCAAGCGGGCGCGCATGACGGAGCCCGCGAACCCGCTCTGGCGGTTCGCGATACCCCTGACCCCCAACGAGAAGACGTACAGGGCGACGCACCGGTCGCACGGCGACAAGGGCGCCGTCGTCTGGGACACGAGTTATGTGAGCACGATTGGGCTCTACGGGTCAGCCAAGGGCGTGGAGCAGGTCTTGCGCCGGCTCGGCGTCGCGCAGGAGGGTTGTTGGAACGAGAGGGGGAGGAAGTGGAGGGATGGCACGCGGCACTGGAGCGGGTTCTTGAGTAGGGAGGTTATGGGAAAGGGAGGAGGCGGGAGGCGGGAGGTGTGCCCGGCGATGATTCTCTGGAACCCCCTTGAGCCGGTTCCTGAGGATGGGGACGCAGCGCAGACGGTTAAGGTTCAGCGACAGGTCTTTGTGAGGGTGCACCCCTCCGCGTTCCTCGAGGTGTTCAACGAGCTCCTTCGGCTCGTGAAGATGCAGAATCCCAGGATGTACATTGAGGATCTGCGCTTCGAGATTGGCAGCATCGAACTCACCGGCCCCGCATCGACTGAGGCCCTCCTGGGTATTTTGCACCCATACCACACACAAGAAGGATCTAGAGAACAGCACGTAGACATCTTCAAGGGCCTGACCAGCCTCATGAGCCCCGCGTCGCTTCCCCTCAACGCCACGCTGGGTTTCTCCATCATGGACCCGCGCCTTCGATACCCCCCGAGAAAACTCGCGCAGCCCGACCCCGACGACGAAGAAGAGCAAAACAAGTCTCTCGAGCTACTCGCAAACTGGCCGGCGGACACCAATCTAAAGCCCCACGGCCTCTTCCACAGAGACGCGCGGGCTTCAGCCACACGACTCCCCTCGCAAAAGTCCATCGACAGGCGCAAAGGGGCAAGACGTCCCGGTACGGACTTAGGCGTCTCGGACGCCGATCCACCGATCCCCGTCATACTGGTAGCATCGCGCGCGGCCGGAAACAGTAGCAACGGTAATAGCAGCTCCCAAGGGAGCTGGACGGTCCTTGCGCCCTGGCGGTGCATCCAGCCTCTGTGGCACAGCCTCGTCCACTTCCCCCTCAGCTCGGGCGGCAACCCGCGCTTCTCTGGGCTGGATCAGATCCGGCAGGTCGCGTTCGAACGGGCTACACCGTGTTTCCCGTTCGATTTCCTCGGCACCGACGCCGGCACCGCGTGGGAGGTGGAGCAGCGGCGCCTGCGCAAGGCGAGCTGGGAGAGGCGGCCCAAGAGTAAGCGGGTCGCGTGGGCGTCGTTGGATCTGGGTGCCGGACGGAAAGGGGAGGTTGGGTGTGGGTGGGCGTGCGATGTGGAGTTTTTGTTTCGGGAGGAGACGACTACGGATAAAGGGCGACAAGAGGGGGAGGAGAAGAGGAGGGCTGCTGCTGTGGTGGGTGCTGATGAGATGGATGTTGACGAGCCTTCCCCAGCAAAGGAGGAGGAGGAGGGAGTCGCTGCGGCTGGTGATGCCACGTCCGAGGGGGAGTTTCTCAAGACGCTCCAACATATCCGCAAGGACGCCTTCAGGGCACACACATCTTCACCATCATCAGCAACACCATCCCCGTTACCGCCGAGATCCGTCATCACGGTAAAGATCTCAATCCTCAACCGCGGCGTCGCCACCGCCTGCGCAAGAATCTACCGCCTTCCCCCGCGCCCCGCGCCCACCGACCCGACCTCATCCGCCGAAGTCCCCGCAACGGTACCTCCCCCGGCGCCGACGACAACCTCCGTCCAAGGCGGCAGCAGCAGTCTACCCCCCAACCTCCGCGCCCAATGGCTCGCCACCCTCCCCGTCTCCAGCGCGAGCGCGAACCACCCAACCAAGAAGAACGGAAAAGCAAAATACCAACAACAACACCAGCAAACCAAGCATCTACCCCTAGAAACCCAAAAACAGATCCTCGCCCAGAAACTCCTCGCCTCACCACCTGCCGAGGCATCATCACTACTGCCCGCGAAACCGAACCAGACGGGCATGAACGGGCACCACCCGCTCATCCCCGACGAGAAAGACCTGCTGGGTTTCGTGACGACGGGGTCGTATTCTCTCGCCGAGGGGCGAGGGATGGCGATTGGGTGTTTAGCTGCCGAGAAGGCTGCTGAGGCGATGAGGGACGGTGCTGGTGCTGGTGCTGGTGCTGGTGCTGGTAGTGCTGGTGGTAGGGAGGGGAAGTTGTGTATTGTGCGGAATGCCGGGGAGAGCGTTGGGTGGATTGCGCGGTGGGAGGTTGTTTGAAAGTTGAAGGGGATTTTTGACTCTACGCACCATATCTACTATGCGAACCGAAATGTAGGTTTAGTTGTAGATGCGTGAGTCCTGGCTACTTCTGTCCGGGAGGACTAGGATAGGAGACGTTAGTCCCTCTTGAGGAGGCGTTGATATCAGGAAAGCCTGATCACTAGAGTATAAGATGGGCAGACCGTCCTCAGGACGAAGAAGAAAAGAAGAAAAGAAAGTTCGCCCGATAGACGGGAATGATGTTAACACTGTAGTGGTTCGAGAGCGAAGTCATACTCATCTTCCGACGTCCCCTCTTTGCCCCTCTGTTCCCATATTAAGCCTAAGCCTACATTAGGGCATGAAACCAGCCATTTGAAAGCAACCATCCTGGCTGGGGCAGGCTCGCGGTAGTCACAAGATTCCCAATGTACCAACGCCCGTTTCGACACAAATGTGAGAACCGGACATTTTTGCACATCATTGCCGTCATGACGCACAGAGAGAGAGGTCTAACGTGGCGTGGGTTGAAGACTCGACTGTTTTGACGAGATTTATATTCTGTTCTCAGGTACTGCAACTGTGCTGCCTGGTTTGAAATACCCGCTCTGCCTAGGCTGGGCTCTCCCGTAATGACGGGGCAAAAGAAGGCCGCCTTGATATGTGAAGAAAAAAGGAAATCCAACAAAATGACAGTAACGCCTTTTTGGTTCCTGCTGTTAAAAAATCCAAAAACAAAAAAACGCCGTCATTATGTCACCTGCCGCCCTCGATAGGGGTGATTTTGCTTTCCAAACACGCGCGATAAGGCCTCATTTCTTCTGTGGCCTTGCCCAGAAACATGACTGTTCCTCAGCACCTTGTCAAGGGTAAGGACTCTTGTAATCATAGTCCCTCGCAATAAAAGAAGCAAAAAAGACCAC